GATTGCATATATCATCTTGTTTAGCTTTTGCATTCTTTTATGGGATACAGTTGAAAGGTAGGAAATTTAAGGCTGTTCATTGATAGGAAAATAAACTAATAAAATCTTAGGAGCTTCCCCAAAGGGGAAAAATATTACAGTGTTTACAGTAACTGGGTTATTATTTGTCCATTAGTTCTCCATGTTTTTCACCCTTGTGAAAAAGGCCTTCCTTCTTGAATATAAATGCAAACAATCTACCTATAATTCAGATAGAGTTGATCCTCTGGTAAAATTAGAAGAAACTCCTTCATAAGTACACACAGTCATATGCTTCTCTCCCCTTATCCAGTGTGGAGGAAGCAGAATGGCCCTAATTGTACTGAAAACATTCAGTGCTATGCTGATGAGAAAGATACTAATGCAGGATCTCTTCTCCTCCTCTTATTAAGTTTATAATGTAAACAAACAAGCACACAGCTACAGGTCAGCACAAACTCTATATTCTGTTTCTAGTAAAGACACAGATTTAAGATGCTTGCAGCCATTCCATGTTATTAAATGATTCTGGCCATTTAATGAAAATACATATCATCTTTTCCTTCCACGTATTAGGAATGTTCTATTACACTGTTGTTAAGCAGAAAATGAGGGTACACTACTGCAAATCCTTTCTTAGCCCAGGATTATTTTGCCCCCAACCATGGTAATTTCCATTTATAATTATGTTGAAATGATTGGGAGGTGTCGACTCTTGTTGAATATATTGTGGTGCACTGGAACTGGAATGTTGACAGGCAAAATAGAGGTCTAAAAAGAATCAGGTGCCAATATGGAATAAGCAGGTATGAAATTTTTTTCTGACACCAATGATGGAGATCGTTCTAGGATGGAAAAGTTCTGTCACACATGCATCTCACCCACCTGTCTTAGCACTGCTGAACTTTCAGCTTCATCATCTGATAAAGCCTGCTCAATATGTCTCTGCGATGTGAATTTGTTTTACATGTCCACTGGGTATGCTTTTTAGCAGGAACCATTTAACACCTGTAGCACAGGTATAATCTAGAACTGCTTGTCTGGGTTTAAAATATCAGCCGTTGACTCTTGACTCTCATTTCTCTACCTGTGCCTGTTGTCTTGTGCCTACATTGTTATCCTTGTTGACTGACATTAAAAAAACAACCACCTTTTACCCGTAGTTTCCACACTGCGTTACTGGAGTTAGCAACATTATTTCCTATTCCAAATATACATCATAGTAGTAAGTTGTAACTCAGTTATTAAATGTCTTTTTTCCAAGGTATACAGTGTTGTTGCAGCCCCAGGATATTAGAGAAACAAGATGGTTGAGGTAATATATTTTATTGGACTAATGTCTGTTGGTGAGAGAGACAAACTTTTGAGCTTACACAGAGCTCTTCTTCAGGTGACCAGTGCAAGATGAAGTAGGTATGCTACTATTGCCCAAACATTAGATGTGCCAAAGATTCCATTTAGTGGCATTTGCTGTTTTTCAGTAAGTTAAAAAGAAATTAGCATGTTGTCTGTGGTGTTCATGAACTGATTGTCTTCTTTGCAAAGAACCCAAAGCTTGTTTGATTGTTTAAACTAATCTTTCTGCTAAACTATAGGTAGCTGGCTGGTATGGTGCTGATTTCTTAAGATGCATATCATTTATCTTTATAAACATTTTGAAATCATGCTAATTCAGTGTCTGCCATTTTAAAGATAACAGAATAATAATTCAAAAATTCCATAATAGTCAGCTAGACTTAACCAATAGTTCCAGTGGTTCCAATTTTAACAGTTCAGTTTAGAATAACAGGCTATAACATCCTCTCTGCAGCTTTCACACATCTTATGAGAGGGTTTGGATGAGTATCAGGCGTGGAGCACCATTTAATATCAGTATGGCACCTGTGCAAGTCATGCTGCCATTGCTTCAGGTACAGAGAAGGCCCAAAGATAAAAGACTGGAACCCATTTCCATTGTTTAGCAGGAAGTCTAATCCAAATGCAAGAGCAGTTGTAAATGAAGACCCTCTACAGATCTTAGACCATTGTCCTATTTAGAGGTTTCCTTTCCTATACCTCTTACCCTTGAAACAAGAGTCTGGATGTAGGTTCATTTATTACAGTAATTAACTTAAAGATGCAACATATATCAAGGGTATGTTTTTAATTAGTATGTTGTTCAATTTCAGTTTGTAGGTATTTATTTTAGTGCATAAAGGGCAAGGGGATAAGACAGAAAATTAATTGTACTCCCATCTTTGACAGATTCACAGAATCTTCACCATGAAACCTGTCAACATTTGGGGTACCTCTGTGCCACTCCATATATTTTTCTTTGAGATAAGTTTGCTGGTAGTAGCTTCCAAATTTTCCACCTTCATAAGTGCTCTGTTCCTTGTAGCCTCAAGTGGCTGCTCTTGTGAAGCCAACGGTGCATATTCAACTGTTGCTCCCTTTTGCCAGCCTCCGTTACTTCATATTTTCTCCTAAACTACAGGCCTCCTCGCTCTTCCTCCATCTCACCTACTCCCTCTGCATTACTCATGCTGATTTTCAGTAGAGCTGGTCAAACATTTTCCAGTGGAATGTTTTGGTCTAAAAATACCTATTTGTTGAAGTCAAAACATTCTGTGAAAACATGTTGATTTCAACATTTCATTTTGGAATTTTTATTTTATAGGGTTTTTATTATTTTTATTTTATGTTTTTATGTTGTTGTACAATTTTTATATTTATAAAATTAATTTAAAATATAAAATAAACAGTAATACAAAATAAAATAGTAACATTTAAAAAGTCAAAATTGAAACAAAATGTTTTGATTGTCCCAAAACAAAATTTTGCACACAAAAATTCTTTTGTGGGGAATTTCTACATTTGACATTTGTTCTATTCAGTAGAAAACCCATTTAGAAATCACAGTTTCCCACAAAATTGAAACTTTGTTTCCCAACCAGCTCTGGTATTCAGTCATTTTTGCTGTTCATCCTTCCATTGTTTTAAAAGGAAATGGGAGATCATCTCTTTTTAAAAAAAATGGAAAATATGGGTTTGTCAGTGACTTAGCATGTGGCAGTGTATTTGATTACAAGGATGGGGCATTGTTCCAATTACTCTGCCACCTGGCCTTTGGAGGAATTAATTATTTGAAACACTGAGGTGATCCTTTTTTGAACATTTTATTGCCCCCGAGATACTATAAAAATATTGATAGTGACTAAATATTTGCCAAGTGTTTGCCAAGAGGTTTTATGTATCTTACCTCTGGCTGCTCCTGCACTTTCTGTGGGTGCTTTGTGGTATTTCACTTGAGGTAACAGAGCTCGTCTACAGGGGCCACCTGTCCCCTCTCCCCCTCATCACAACCCAATGGACACAATCCTATTGGGGAGCTCTGCTGTAGTATATGTTTGTATAGTAAGTACAAATACGACATCTCTATTTTCAATTATCCCTATAATTCACAACCTCCCCCATACTGTGCCTTTCTACAGCAAAATAGTTATATATAAAATTTGGTTGTAGCACTAGAATATATGGTATTTATTTGTTGGGTTGTTTATTGTACAGACCTCTTGCTTTTCTACTTGAAAAAAATTGCAAAATTTGGTGAATTTAGTGGCAAGCATTAATTTTCATATTTAAGAATGAAATGTTCCCAAACAGTAGTTCAACTCAAGTTTGTATTGGATTATTTAATACTAAAACTACATGGGTGCAGATTCCTATGATATCATTCTGACATCTAAATTATATTAACTGCACCCTCATCTAATTGCTCCAACAAACTCTGGGTAAGGAATTTGAAAACAACTGAATTTTGTTCATGGGTTTGTCAGGTGCAGGTAGGTAATCTCTTGATTACAATGTATCAAGCATGGCTGAAATTATTTTAAATAATGACTACTGACAGTAGTAAGTATTCTGTCCAGTTATAAGTGTTTGCATGATTGGGAAATTACATAATACAGATATTTTAGTGTGACCCACCAAGGTCTGGATTGCTGAGCTCTGAGTGTCACATGATATGAAATAAATGTAATTGCAATTATAGGCAGTGTCTTATTTATTATTACCTGGTGGCATCTATATTTTATTACCTCTAGAAGTCAATAACTGAAATGACAAATCTTTTAAATTGTTTTCATAATCTGAATCTGGTTAAAACTTATTTTCACTGATTAACATGGTTTACCTGTATGTGTATTACACAGTCTTCGGATTCTTATACCTGATTGTTTTAACAGCCTGATCCTAGTAAAAGAAAAAACTTTGCAATTAAACCCTGAAAATAGGCGAAGATACGGCGTTCACCATAACTTCTCATTTTTGTTACTGTGAATGCTAATGTAATTGCTAGTATGCATGAAAATTTATATTCCTTTTAATCTGATCTTGCAATTATTCAGTAAGACTTTACACATTGAAAAAGAAATATCCAGGAACTCATGTTTTAAAATAGTAACATAAAAGTATTGGGCTAGATTTTGCTCTGTTACAGTCCTAAAAGCCAGTGAATTTACTGGGCCAAATTCTGCACTCTGTGATCCTATTTGTGTAGAAATCAGTGTGATTGCATGGGGCATTGACACCATATTTGGCTCAGTGACTTCAGTGGGGTTGGAACGGTATCTACAGAAACAAACAAAACTGTGTTTTCTTTCTTTCCTTAATTAGGCCCAGTCCTGCCTTTGGCTTCTGCTGGCAGATCCTTGCACCTACATAGAGCTAATCATGGGCTCAAGGGCTTAGAATTTGACTTATGATAACATTTTTAGATTTTGAAATGAAAGGAGAACTGTGGGTGCCGTACTGTACATCCTTTCAAGTCTGTAGTTGACCGATATGTTCCAGCACTTAACAACATAAGAGTGGCAATACTGGGTTAGACCAATGGTCCATCTAGCTCAGTATCCTGTCTTCTGAAATGGCCATTGCCAGGTGCTTCAGAGAGAATGAACAGAACAGGCAATCAATGGAATTGTGTCCCTTTCCCTGATTAGACACAGAACAGAATGAAACTGATGGCAGACAACTATGATGATGACCATCACCACTTCCACCACCACCATCATCACCACCACCACCGGTCTCCTGGGAGGACCCAGCACTCAAATCACCGACCCTCTCCAGATCAGGTCAGTCACCTCCTTTCTTACCTTCACACTTACCCTTTTACCATTCTGAAATTTCAAGATAAAATAAATATTCCAAAGAAATAATAAACAATATAAGTTTATTTTTTGAACTGAAACTAATAGCTTTGGTATTTATTTCCATCACTCAGGGAATCTAAACGTTTTCGTTTCTCTTTCTGTTTTTCTTTTTGTCTGTCTTATAATATTTTCCTTCCCTCTCTTCCTTTTTCTTTTGCTTTAAGCTTCTAAGCAGAGTTACCATTCAACTGTTTAAATAGAAAGTTACTGGAGAGCTGCATAGTTACTGCAACTTCACTATTAGGTACTTGCTTTTTGGAATAACTGTTATTCAAAGACTTGGTCAGCATTTCCAGTATGAGCTTGTGTTCAGTTGTTCCTAAGCTGGCTATGAAAATATCTTTGAATTGAAAGAATTGAATGAATATTTGCCATTCATTGGCAAATATTGCATTAACTCAGTTTTGGTTGTCTTATAGTAAACAAAATGTAAATGTTTTGGGATATATTTTAGAGTGAATTTTCAAAAATGACTAGTGATTCTGGAGGGCCTCAGTCTTTGCGTGCTGAACTTGAAACATCTTCAAGAGACCTTTGTTTCAGAGTAACTATCCTCTGACAATTGGGACCCATTAGTATGTCAGTTTGGACACCCCAAAATTGAGCCATCACCTAAATCACGAATCATTTTTACAAATATCAGAACTTGTTTTTTAAATAAAAATATGCAAGTTTTGTTTATAATAATGATATTAAAATGTTAATATTTTTACAAAATGTGAAAAAAATAAAGTAAATCAAAAATTACTCAAATGTGATTCCATTTTAATTTTGTATTAGCACAATTTCTAGGGCAATGTACATCACCTTGCCTATAATTTTAATACATAATATGCATAATTTTATTGGCACCCCAAAAATTTGTCTTTAGGAAGTTTTTTTTATGCTGGTTCTGCAGTTAATGTTGCTATAAATAGGCAAATAATAGGTAAGTGTCAAATGTTCAGCCTCCGTAATCTTGGATTGTAGCAATCTGCATAAAGTGGATACCTTAACAATAAACTTTATGATTTTGTTATGTTTAAGATGGATATGTTTTCAAACAGAAACTGAGGGCCTTTTGTTTTCTGAAATGCTAAGGCCTTGATCCTGCAAGGACTTAAGCTCATGTATCACTTTATGTATATGAGTAGTGCCATTGGAATTAATAGGACTATGCATATGCATAAAGTTATGTACATGCTAAAGTCTTTGCAGGATTGGGGCTTTGAAGTGGATTTCTGAGAAATGTATTGAAAACTGCTAAACAGTTGTCAGAATATTTGTGTTTAAATTTTTGTTTATATTACATTATTATTACCAAATTATATTTGACCCTAATTGTGTGAAACTATAAGGATTACGATTTTTATTTCTTTTCCTTTATATCGTGTTATTGAAATACTTGTTTTTCTTGTTTGCTATCTGCAAAATCTTTTCCTTCTTATTTTCTTTTACCTCTGGTTTTCTTCCTCCCCCTTTTCTCCTTTCCTCACCACTAATTAGAAGAAACTACCTCAGTGGGGTGGGGTTGATGAGAGCCAGAGGACCAACACAGCAAATCAAGACAGCGAAACTCAGCAGCATCTCTTACAGTATTGTGCTTCTGGGTGTCAGTTTTTAGATGAGATGGTTTGTGAAATATTCAGTATGTTGGAAAAGAATAATACAATACTTTGTTCTATTTATAGTTTAGACACTTGATGGCCCCCTGTCTTCCTCTGAAGAGACTATACTTAGAAGTAGGCTGAATTCATTAGGATATTTTTGATACAGTATCTTCACATATGATAGTGCCCTCTTGTCTGTACATAGGATGGTTATTTCACTACTCCTGCACCACCCAGGTGCTGCTAAGTGATTACGTGACATACTCAGGGACTAGTTTTCCAAACCATTTACCAAGCAGTAAATGGTTTTCTACCTCCAAGGGAGAAAGAAGGAAGCAGGGGAGGGAGGAATTGTGACTCACAGTGCCTCCCAGAGTTACATCTCTGTTGGTGGCAACTTACAGAGGACACCAACCTTTGCTCAGGGCTGTGCTGTGTCACAGTAAGACTTGATAAGAGCACAGCCAACACTGTGCTGCACCATAAGAGCACAGCCAACATAGTGCTGCAATTTTGCAGGTTGCACAATATGACTGCAGGTCAAAAGCTGCATTGTAAAGAAGTCATACACACTTTTATATTCAGTAAAAAATGTGGTCTTTAAAAGTAAATATTTAAAATTGGAGATATAGATTTTGTAAGATTTTTCTACAGATACACTGATGCTAAAGAATTAACATGTCCCTACCAAAATATCATTTAAATCCTACAGTTTGGGGAGTCTGGTAAGAGCCTGAACTCTTTCGTTGATTCCCTTCTGCAGAACACCAAAGCAATGACATACTTGTTAAAAGTTTTTTGAGCACATGGATATGATATTTGCCTATTATCATTTTTGTTATCGTAAGAAAGGATGTTAGAGTCCTCACTACAGAGGAAATACAATTAAAAGAAGTTGAGCCTGAAATTATTCTATTTAATGAACCAACCTTACATTTCAAGATAAGAAAATATATCTATATATCTCTATATATCTTTCAACAGCATTTCCACTGCAGTCAGGTAGCCATTAATAATCCCTTCCAAATTCCAATGGAATGTGCTTAGTAAAGAGTGGAAGTTAAATGTGCCAGCTATAGATGAAAACTTTTTGAATGCTGGGTTTGGCTATTTAAAATATCAAGTTTGAAAATGGTCATAAGAGACTTTTGCAGCAAGAATGAAATCCAGTGTAGTAGGTGAGTGTGGGGGAAGGGTTTGGAGAGGGTGGCAGGGATGAGAGAAGGATGCAGGTGCTGCTTAAAAGAAAAGGGAGGGGTCAAAGCAATAGTATGCTCAGACTAGGAAGAAGTGGGGAGGAGTTGAAGAGCATGATGAAGCCATCAGCAACTGGAGGAAGGGTCTGGGAACCAGCTCGACAGGAGAGCACGGAAGAAAATTCATAGGAGGAAGGCACAGGGTCTATAGCAGGAGGAGGAAGAGAGCCTGATTCTGATCTCACAATTCTATTGACAATATGGTGTTACACCTGATTTACATTGGTGCACGAGAATGCAAAATCTATTCCAATAACATTTGGTAGTTCATTTATTTTGGCAGGTAAATTAAATAATGGTATGAAAAAATTGTGTGGTTTGTAAAAACAACCATACAAATGTTAAGAAATTGAGAATGTTCAGCCAGTGTGGATGGTACTATTGTCAATAGTGACAGAAAATGCAGGGGAAGAGGTAAGGAGTTCAGTTTGTACCATGTTAAGCTTAAGTCAATGGTGAAACATATAGGAGGAGAGAGGCTGAGGTGCAGTATTAGACTGAGGGATTCTGGTCAGATATAGAAAGGTAGATTTGAGAGACATGCATGAAGATGGCAATTGAAGCCATATGAGCAGAAGAGTTTGTACAAAGAAAGGATGTAAAAGAAGAAGAGGAGAAGGCAAGGATGGAATCCTATGGTCCTCCCATGGAGATGAGAGATGCTGAAGAAACAGCCAGAGAGAGGTAGGAGAATTAGCAGAGACTGGAAGAATGAAAGCCCTGGGAAGAGGATAAGATATCATGAAGTACATTGATCAACTGTGTAAAAAGAAAGCAGAGAGGTCCATGAGGATGAAGATGGAGTAGAAGCCATAAGATTTGGTTGAGAAGAAAGTACTTGGAGCCTTAATGTGAGAAGTTTCAGTTCAGAGAGTGAAAGCCAGAGTGGAGGGGGGTCCAAATGAAACTTAGGTCAGTGATGGTAGATGACACATTGACTGAGTTTGGATATGAAGGGAAATTGGGCTTTATTGGACAGCCAGGTGGAGCTGAGGTGTTTGAGGATAGAGCAAAACATGCTTGTGAGAGGAATGAACCCAAAGAGAACGAGAGACTGAAGAGGGTTTACAGCTGAGTCAGAAGACGGAAGAGGAACAGAGAAGAAGGCATATGAGCAGTAAAAAAAATCATTACACTGGTGGAGTGGAGGCTGGAGAAAGACTGAGGAGAAGTAGGTGGCAGGTGGGCGATGTTGAAGGAAATCAAAAGTTGGTCAGAGAGAACTTGGAGAGTGAGAGGTGAGAAAAATAAATCATGTCTGGTGAAGAGAAGGGTGAGAAAGTGTCCATTTGGGTGAATGGGAGAGTTGATCCAGAGTAGTACATAAAGAGGAAGTAATGGTAAGAGTAAAAATAATTGGCTGAAGCATCAATGTGGAGGGTGAAATCACGCAAGGTGAAAGTGAAGGAATGTTAGGTGAAGAAGAGGGAAAGCCAGGTGTCAAAATCAAAGCAGGTGGATGAGAGGGAGGGTCAAAGGAGGAGAATGAATGAGAATGGGGGGAGTTGTAAACAGCAGGAACAGGAGAGTAGTAGCCCGATGCCACTATCTGATATTTGGAGTGAAAGGTAAGAGAAAGAGAGGCCAAAAAAGAGCAGCTACCAAAGCAGAGATGTGGCATAGCAATGGAAATTTTTGTTTCCGTGGATAGGAAGAGATGGAAGGAAGGAGAGATGAGGAGGTTTTGCATAGCAGTCATCTCTTTTTGAGTGAAATAAGTATTCCAGAGTGAGCAAGAGAAGGAGCATAGGAAGGTAATGAAGGTGCGGATGGGTATAAGGTTTGAAGGGGCAGCCACTGGAGTGGAGATGGTGTCAGGGATGGTTGTGGGATTTGAGAAGCTGGTTTCTGGGCAGATTATGTCAGATACAAGGAGGGGAATTGATGGAGGATGCAGAAGTGAGATATAGACTTGCAGTTGTGTGTGAGCAGAGGACAGAGGGTTGAGGGTAGAGTGGGTGGACTTGGAGCAGTAAAGGGGAAGTGAAGAAGGGATGTGAGATAGAGATGACAGGAAGTAAGGGAGAGGAGTGAGATGAGGAGGAAGGGGAGCAGTGACTCAGAAAAGAGGTGTGAT